ATTAGCAGAGCGAGGCCTGTATGTCGGGGTTACAAGAGTTCTTGAAGTGCTGGCCTAACTACGGTTTCACTCGAACGAACGAGTATTATAGTATCTGCGCTGGGCTCGAAGCCTGCTACATTCGGGTAAAAGAGTTGGTGAGTTCGTGATCCGACACACAGAACGACGGCAGGTAGAGGTTGTTTTTTTGTAGTGCCAGCATCCCATATGGGTGCCAGGTTCGAGTCCTGGCTGCTCTACTTCCTATCCAGCTCTCTGCTATGGCCTGGGAAAGCAGTGGAAGGTGTCCCAAGTCCTTGGGCCCCTGTGCCCACGTAGGAGACCCAGAGGAAGCTCCTGGCTCCTGGCTTCCAATTGGTGAAGCGCTGGCTGTTGCAGTCATCTGGGAAGTGAACCAGTGGATGGAAGACCTCTCTCTGCCTCTCCTTTTCTCTCTGTGTAACTCTGACTTTCATATAAATAAATAATCTTAAAAAAAGGCCGGCGCCGCGGCTCACTAGGCTAATCCTCCGCCTAGCGGCGCCGGCACACCGGGTTCTAGTCCCGGTCGGGGCGCCGGATTCTGTCCCGGTTGCCCCTCTTCCAGGCCAGCCCTCTGCTGTGGCCCGGGAGTGCAGTGGAGGATGGCCCAGGTGCTTGGGCCCTGCACCCCATGGGAGACCAGGAAAAGCACCTGGCTCCTGGCTCCTGCCATCGGATCAGCGCGGTGCGCCGGCCGCAGCGCGCCGGCCGCGGCGGCCATTGGAGGGTGAACCAACGGCAAAGGAAGACCTTTCTCTCTGTCTCTCTCTCTCACTGTCCACTCTGCCTGTCAAAAAAAAATAAAAATAAAAAAAAAATAATATGTGGATATCCTGATATAATTGTAGTTATAGTATGGCTCTATTGGAGACATATACATAGTTGTGTATATGGATGAAAAGATCTCGAAGAATATATCTCAAAAAGCTGGTAGTGAGTGGTGATATTATCAGTGTTCATTTTTTCTTTCCACTTCTCAGCATAAAGCCTTATTGGGTTGGTTTCCTTTCTGGTCTCCCTTTAGCTGTGACAATTCTCAGTGACTACTGTCTTCGAAGCCCATTGTCCCATTCTTTTTTATTAATAGGCTCTTTAATTTTTAGCTGAGTGCAGAGATGATCAGAATAAAGATTACATTTTCCAGCCTCCCTTGAAACTAGCTATAGCCATTTGTCTACCTCCTGGTTGATAGGTTGTAATTAGACATGTCATGTATGATTTGGGGGAAGTGTACTTGAGTGGAAGACGTACACTCTCTTTCTTTTCTGCTTACTGGGAATCAGACATAATGGCTACAACTTGATCAACCCTTTTGTGACTATGAGAATAAAGATCACACCCCAGGGATGGCAAACTGGAGCCCTAAAAGAAGCGTGGATCCAGGGGTCAGCGCTGTGGCGAGCAGGCAAAGCTGCCGCCTGCGGCACTGGCATCCCATAGAGGCAGCAGTTTGAGTCTTGGCTGCTTCACTTCTGATCCAACTCCGTGCTAATGTGCCTGGAAAGTAGTAGAAGATGGCCCAAGTGCTTAGGTCCCTGCACCCATGTTGGAGACCTGTAGGAAGCTCCTGGCTCCCGGCTTCGTATCAGCCCAGCCCTGAGTCATTGCAGCCATTTGGGGAGTGAACCAGCAGATGAAAGACCCCTCTCTCTCTTTCCCTCTTGTAACTCTGTCTTTCAAGTAAATAAATAATTCTTTAAAAGAATATAAAAACCCAGCTTCCAAATAAGTATAGAAAAGGAGAAGAAATGTATAACATGATATATATTTTTAAAAGCAGCATAGATCCATGCCAACTTTGTGACCCTTGATATGTTATCCCTGAGCTTCTTGTCTCTGGACGGTTTACATGAGAACAATGTGTATGTCTAAGGCAAAGTGAATTTGAATTTTATGTAATAGCCAAATCAAATCCTAGCTAAATGGAATTAGTATATGCAGCTGGTCCACAAAATCTGTGGGTTCTGTGTCTGAGGTTTCAATTAACCATGGGTTGAAAATATATTTTTAATTATCTCTATACTAGGGGGTCGGCACTGTGGCACAGCGGGTGAAAGCCCCAGTCTGCAGCGCTGGCATCCCATATGGATGCCGGTTCATGTCCTGGCTGCTCCTCTTCTGATCCAGCTCTCTGCTATGGCCTGGGAAAACAGTGGGAGATGGCCCATGTCCTTGGGCCCCTGCACCCGCATGGGAGACCCAGAAGAAGCTTCTGGCTCCTGGCTTCAGATCAGCTCAGCTCTGACTGTTGCGGTCATTTGGGGAGTGAACCAGTGGAATGGAAGACCTCTCTCTCTGGCTCTACTACTCCCTGTAACTCCTCTGTCTTTCAAAATGAATAAAATAATTCTGAAAAAATTATCTCTATACTAAATGTGCAGATTTTTTCTTGTCATTATTCCCAAACCATACAGAATAATAAACATTTCCATAGCATTTACATTGTATTGGGTATTATAAATAATCTAGAGATGATTTAAAGTGTATGGAAAGGTGTGCATAGGTTATATGCAAATATTAAAGTGCTTTATATAAGGGGCTTGAGCATCTATGGGTTCTAGTAACTGCTGGGGGTGCTGGAACCCCTGCAGATACCAAGGGATGATCTGCAATTCATGGTTTTCTTTGACTCAGTGGTGAAGAATTTATATTATATAAGTGGAGTTCAAAAAGTTCCTTGAAAATGGAATGAAAAGGTAAGTTTATTTTGGTGCAAAAAATGTTGAACTCCATGCATTATTTTTTTTCTTTTTCTTTTCTTTCTTTCTTTTTTTTTTTTTTTTTTTTTTTTTTTAATTTGACAGGTAGAATTACAGACAGTGTGAGAGAGAGACAGAGAGAAAGGTCTTCCTTCCGTTGGTTCACTCTCCAAATGGCCGCTACGGCCGGAGCTACGTCAGTCTGAAGTCAGGAGCCAGGAGCCTCTTCCTGGTCTCCCATGCAGGTGCAGGGGCCTAAGCACTTGGGCCATCCTCCACTGCTTTCCCAGGCCAAAGCAGAGAGCTGGACTGGAAGAGGAGCAACCAGGACTAGAACCTGGCGCCCATATGGGATGCCGGCGCCGCAGGCGGAGGATTAACCTAGTGCACCATGGCCTCGGCCCCATAGTTTTTTCATAATCTACATTTTCCATAAACTTTTTGAAGACCTCCACAAATACGTGGATTTTGAAATTATTTTTCACCAAAATAAACCTATCTTTTAATTCCATTTCTCATTTATTTATCTGAGAAGTAGGAAAAAGAGACAGAGAGGGAGTTCCTATCTGCTGGTTCCTATCTACTGCCCCAAGTGGATGAGGGTGGGCTAAGCCAAAGCTGGGAGCCAGTAACTCAGTCCAGGTCTCCCACGTGGATGACACGAACCCAACCACTTGAACCATCACTGCTGCCTTCCAGGGGCTGAATTAGCAGGAAGGTGGGGTCGTGAGTCAGAGCTGGGTACTCTGATATGGGATACTGACATACCAAGTCGTACCTTAACCACCAGTCCAAATGCCTGCTCCAATTCCATTTTATTTTTCTTTTAAATTTATTTTTTAACAGTAAAATTTTTAGAAAAACTTATTTATTTGAAAGGCAGAGTTACAGAGAGAGAGGGAGAAACAGAGAGAAAGAGATCATGTAATCCACTGGTTCACTCCCTCAATGTCCACAAGGGCTGGGGTGGGGCCAGGCTGAATTTAGGAGCCTGGAATTCCATCAGGGTCTCCCCCATGGGTGGTAGGGGCCCAGGTACTTGGGCCATCTTCCACTGCTTTCCCAGGCCACAGCAAAGAGCTGGATCAGAAGTGGAGCAGCCGAGACTCAAACCGGCGCCCATATGGGATGCCAACACTGTGGGCAGCAGCTTTACCGGCTTTGCCACAGCACCGCCCCCGACAATCCATTTATAATAACAAAATTTATAAAGCATTGATGAAAATCATTATATAAATCAGAGTATAGGGGCTGGCGCTGTGGCACAGCATGTTAATGCACTGGCCTGGGGGCGCCCACATCCCATATGTATGCTGGTTCTATTCCCGGCTGCTCCTCTTCTGATCCAGCTCTCTGCTATGGCCTGGGAAAGCAGCAGAAGATGGTTCAAGTCCCTGGGCCCCTGCACCCGTGTGGGAGACCTGGAAGAAGCTCCTGGCTCCTGGCTTCGGATTGATGCAGTTCCAGCTGTTGTGGCCAATTGGGGAGTAAACCATCGATGGAAGACCTCTCTCTCTCTCTCTCTCTCTTTCTGCCTCTCCTCTCTCTGTGTAACTCTGACTTTCAAATAAATAAACAAATAAATCTTTTAAAAAAATCAGAGTATGTCCCTGTAGTACAGTTGTGACAATGAGTTAACTATAATCACAAAACTATCGATAGGCCTGAGCTACATAATGATGAATCAAAAAAAAAAAAAAAAGTCCCAGAACACTACATGTAATATAAATTTAAAAAAAATATAAAAGCTGGCATATTGTTAAGCCACACACATGTGTAACAAAATATAAAGAAGAGCAATGCTATGATAAAAACCAAATTTAGGAGATTGATTACCACTGAGGGGAAGGGTTCGGGATGACCTGGGAAAAGAAGACATAGATCAACCTAGTCATGGCAAACTTTTAGCTCTTGATTGAGAGATGCACCTGCGAATGGTTTATTCTATTAGCATAATGGTACATATAGTATAAACCAATTAAATGAGGTTTATGTAAGGACCAAAGGGCCAGTCATAGCCTTTGATCCATGACACATTATTAACATGAATCAGGGCTAAGACGAATCCAATTTTATGTTTCTGAGGTTCATAATACAATCATACCACTTATGAAGTGGCCTATTGTTTTATTATTGTAAACCAGGCAACAAGGATGGATGTGTTTCTATTTGTGTACCAAACTGTTTCCCTAACCATGTTTTTCAAAATAAACTTTTCACTTTTAAATAGTTTTAGATTTACAGAAAAGTTGGCACAGCGAGTACAGAGGTTTCAATAACCCCCCTCCCATTGTCCCTGCTGTTAACACCATACATTATTGCAGAATGTTTGTTCCAGCTAATGAACCAAGGTCGATACATTACTATTAACCCTATCCAGATTTGAAGTTTCCTGAGAGCAGAGCCAGTGTGTTTTAGCATTCCCCATGTTGAGTCTAGTCAGGGCTCCATATGTGTTTGGTTGGTGAGGAAATAAGCTTACTCAATGATTAAATTTCTGCAAGAATAAGCTTCCTATTTCACGATAATTTATAATTTGCTGTAAGTAGCTTTAGCAGTGTTGAGATAGAACGCCGGGCTAAGTCGGCTTGAATGTGCTCACAAGTCGTTGTTTTTGAATTATTTACCAGGGTTCTCGTTAGAATGTGCACCAGAAGCCAAGTGCTGAACTGAGTATTTTTTTTTTCTTCTTCCCTGGGTTTCTTTTCTAAATCAGGTCATGGAAAATGGATGCTATTTCTTTAAATAATATAACCAAGCTGATCCCTGGATTACAATTAGGTTACGTAACTTGCTTATGAGCTGCTTTTCATTAAGACTTGCAGTGGGCAATGGGGCTTTACGTTTCAGAGCAAAGCTGGGGAGAACAATCCTGCTAAGAGCCAGAACACATGCGGCGTCAGCGGCAGGGACTGCAATAACTTCAGCACGGACTGAGCGCGATGTAGGCGGCCCCTTTTCTCTCGAAATTCTTAAAACATCCTTTGTCTTACCAAATGCTCTGGTTCCAAATACATCTAAAACACACATGCGGAGGGCCCACACCGGGAGGGAGTATCGGGTGGCCAGCTCCTAGGATGTGGAGCAGTGAGCCCTCCAGGGAGGGCATTATCAAGTTTCTGCAGAATCATGGCTCACTTTCATTTCTTGTGGAATACAAATTACCAGGAAATATTAAAAAATATGACCAAGGGCTTGGGGAGGGGGGGCATGGTACCAGAAATCTCAGCTCCAACCTACAAACATGTCTGTATGAATAAGCATTTCATAGGGAGGGCAAGTGAAGAAGATGGTGTCAAGTCAGGTAGAGTGTGCGAAGCTTGGTGTCAAACCCAAAGACACGAAGTCGGAAGAGATTCTGGATGAGGGTTCATCAAAACACACAAACATCTGTTCTTAAAAATGGAGATAAAGCAACTTCCCCCCAAAAGGAAGATGTTCATTGCTGCTACGTTACATGGCATACCCACTACAGGATGAGATCATTTTGATATGAATATTAAAACCACCTCCTAGAAGATAAATTCTGGGCTGAAGTTTTAGTGCGAGTAAGTAAAGTAATCAGAAGGTGGGACAAAGCACTCTTGACGGTATGTTTATGTCAATAAACAGCTCTGTTCTGCAGAGCTTGAGCCAGAGTAGGCTCATTGGAAAGAAAGGGCAGTGTAAGGGGTCTTCAGAAAGTTTACAGGATACGAGTACTATGAACAGCTGTGTGGATTTCAAACTGTTTTGCACCAAAACAAATTTATCATTTGATTCTACTTTGCATGAACTTTTTGAAGTACCCCATGTATGTAACACCAAAATTCTACTGAATGCAGAATTCTCTTTTTGAAATGCAATTATTGCATAGTGATTAAAATAGCAATCAAGAACAGTTAAATGATCTTGGAGGCTTACATGTTCTTGAAAAAACATTTGTAATTTGCTGTATGGGAAGAGCCATCATTTTTTAAGCAGCTAAATTCAAGCTTGTTTCTTAACTTTTGGCAAATGTGATCTCTTATATAAATTCTCAAAGTGGAGAAGGAGATTTTGTAATACAGTTGTATAAAATATTAAAGATAACTTTTTGCTCTTAACTTATGGTTAACTTAAAAACTTACAGTGAACATTTGATTTTCAACTACCCATACTTAATATTTATGGTGACTAGAAGTTTTTTAACTTAAAAATAAACTTTCAACTATCAACACAGTGAATGTAAATGCGACCTATATGTTTGAATGCAAAGTAGTTCATTAATTCTAATGGTACCACACGTTCCTCTTGGCTTCAGCACAGTCCCCCACTTGCCTAAGCCCTGTTGGTTGCTGGGGAGCCTTTGATTCTTGTGTGTGTGTCTAATTTACTAATGAGTCTTGGTGTCATTTAGGGCTGAACCAAGCACATCTGAACAGCCTGGCCGCTCCCGGGCAGCTGGGGAAGGGCAGCCACCGTGTACCGAGCGGGGCTGGAAGAACACCAGCGCCGAGATGAGTCAGAAGCACTGAGAGTGTGTAGTGAGTCAGAGTCAGAGCTCCCCCACCAGAGCTGCAGAAATAAGTGGGGGGGGCATGGATGGGGGCAGCAATGCTGCAAGGGAAATTAGTGAAGGACACTCCACAAACCCTTTCCCAGCGACTCTCTGTGTGGCTACTGTGGGCCTTGCCTATTCCT